TCTAGCGTGACTTTAGTCTTAGCAACATATGCCAAAATATTTAAATTCTTCAGGCTGTTCTGGATCTATGTTGAGGACTTGCTCCTCTGTAGGAACAGATAATGCATCTCTATACTCTACAAACAACGCATATTTGATAAGGAATATAGTCATGGACAGTCATGCAATGTTCACCAGGAAAACAACTACGTACAAAATATTTCATTAATATGCAGTTGAACAAGAGGAACTAAAAGTCACAAAATGAGTAGAAGACAGTAAGCACTGGTAGTCTTCAGTCATGAGTAGCCCCAGCTTCAGGAAAGAAAGATTGGGCAACACCCCACAGATTTTTTTCTGTTACCCTCTGTTTCTCATATAAATGAGAATGACATATAAATTCCATCAGCTTTTCATAATTCTTGGCAACGAGCAGCCAGTTCATACAATGGATGTCAGTCACCAGTGGACATCCACAACCATGTACGTGGGAAGTGGTTCTTGTTAGCATATTTGTAAATGAGCTGACTGTGAAGAACTGCACAGTTTACAAAACTGAATGCCTAGGTAGATCACAGCAGCAGATAGCTTTCAGTACAGATAAATGTGAAGCGATAAGCACTAAAGTAGTCCTAATGCCACATCCTTAATGACTGGCTCTAAGCTCATCATTAATATTAGAAGTGAAATCATTCAGTGAGCTCATCAACTTATTGTTCAGTAGCAGTCAAAAAGAACAAAAAACATAAAATATTAGGAATTAGAAGGAAAATGTACAGCAGAATAAACAAGATAATTATACCACTATGTGAATCCACAGTTTGCCCACATCTCAAAAGTTATGCAGTTTTAATCCTGTATCTGAGATAAATTAGAAATAGAAAATATTCCAAGATAAGCACAGAGGATAAACTGGAAAACATCTGTACAAAGAGCAATTGAGCAAGCTGTGATTTCTCACCGTGAAAAAAATGTTTTTGGTGTGATATCATTAAAAAAAAATCATGATTGGCACTGAGATGGTGAAGAGGAAGTAACTGTGAGCTGTGTTTCCTGCTACAAGAACTATGGGTCTTCAAATAAAGCTTGTGAGAGCCAGATATGTAACAAAACAGCAGAGGAAATTACCCTCCCAATACTTACATCAATAATCAACTTGCTGAACAATTTGTGAAGGGGTACTATGAGATTATAGAGATTTGTATGATCTCTCATTCAGCAAGCACGAGTGATTATGTGATTTTTGGTCAGGACAGTTGTATGAATCTGCATGTCCAGTCCTACTTTTCATTGATTACGGACTCGGAAGGTTAGTTAAGACCTGGAAGAAGAAAATTCAAAGCAATAGCAAAATGTATAATAGAAAATAATACTGCAGATAAATCCTTTACAGTCATTATTTTCTTTTCACTTAACACCATTTTCTGAATAGGCAAGAGTCACACTCAGCTTTCACAGGTGCCAAGATGATCACCAAAGGGGAAAATTCACTGGCTGGAAACCAGGAAGCAACTGATGTAATGTTCCAGGTGTTTGTAAGTGGTAAAGAAGCCTGCAGTCACAGGGAATTGGTACAACCCATGACCACACTTCACACTGTGAATCAGGGAATAAACTATTTTACTTCTTAGTGAATATAAATTCAAATCAATTTATGTTAGATATTTGAAGTTTCAAAATCAAATTAAAAGAAATCAAACTCGAAAAGGAAAAACAATCACAAAATAAGGATAAAACAGATAGTTATCCTTCTGTCTCTCCTGACAACTACATATGCCTGCTCTAGCTTCAGCCAGAATGTTCCAATCCAGTGATGCAGTTGTCATCTGGATAGCTACCCATTTTACCATCTTGTATCCATTATCCATAGAAGAGATAATAAATCCATTTCTATTCCATATTTGAGAACTGGGACCTGATCTAAAACCTCTTGAAGTTAGTGCAGACTTTCACTGACTATAGTTGACGCTGGAACAGGCTTGAGAATTTAAATCCGTAGTCTGCTAACAAACTAAGTAAAGGTCTATTCTACGTTGAACTGAAGTTGAACATAGATAAGACTAATAGTATTGACATCAGTGAAGCTATACAGGTCCGCAAGCAGACTGGTCTTCATTCTGTTTGTTGCTCTTCAGTTGACTTCAGTAATTCAGTGCATGAGGTAACACATCAAAATGACACTTGATAATGATTTCAGTATCAGTGGAGGCATGAAGCAGAAGATTAAATAGAAATAAACTTTCCAAGTTTCCAATAATAATACTGTACAAATGGAAAAGGTAGCTTTGCACTATTGATGCTGTGTGCAGGGTTTCAGAAATCGAAGTCAATCACTCTTTCAAGACAGCATGAAATCAGACTATATCTAAAAAAGTGCATTTATTAGGATTTCAAGAGAAAGTATTCTTGTTCTTATATCTCTGAAATGAAATAGGCTGTGCAAGACAGACAAAAATATTCTTGCCTCCAGAGTTTCATTGGCATAATCTGTTTGAAACATGTACAGATTATGATACTGACTTGCAGGAAGGTGGAATTGGTCATTTTTACCAGGAAATATCTGTTCATCTTGAAGTATGCCATTGTCATATACATGCCCATGTATATGAGAGAAAATAAGTTATCCCATTGTTCTTTTGAGATGTTTCTTCTTGCATATAAAATTACTAATCGCAGTCTTCATCATAGCATAGTCATACTCTACTGAGGTCAGTGAGGAAGACAAGAAAAAGTAAAATAGAAAGCAAAAAAAAAAAAGAAATTATTTAAGTATTTCTGACATGAGTAATTTCTTTAAGAAACTATAACCTTTTGACAAATTTCCATTCACATTTCTTCCATTGCCACAGAGCAAGCCTCATAAACTCACAGTACTTGCCAATAAATTATGCCAAGTTATTCTTAGCTTCTGGCAAAATATTCCTCTTGACCCAATCCATCTGTGAGAAATGACACAACTGTTACCATAACAGGTAAAGCATCCTCCATTTGAAGAGGCATAAACTGAGAAACTGAGGTTAGCTTGATTCAGGGAGAGGTGAGAGAACATCAACAAGTGAGGGTGCAGAGAGTGGGGCAGGAGCTCATGATATTTTGGAGCATGAGGGAGAGCTGATGGGGGCACAGGGCCTGAAAAATGGTGGGGCTGTATGGAAGGAGTGGAGAGTCAAAGTTCATCAGGGCAGCACTAACAGACACGCTGTCAGAAAGAAATCAGCACCAGAGCAGAAAAGGTTTTATGTTACGCTGCAGGGGAGTAAAAGTGATCCACAGCCTCACACACGGCGATGTACATCTCCAGCCAATCACAGGTAGGCTCACCATCATGCTACAGCTCTGTTACGTTTTTCAGTTCTCACAAGTTGTGACTAAAAATATACAATAAAAGTTGTAGTTATGTCATAGATTTTCTTCAAATGTCAGACAACAAACTCAAGTTTGGCTCTTTTGTTGGTGTTCAAGGTTGTTTTTTTTTTTTTTAAATTCACAGATTTTTTTCCCCTGTATCTGTTAAAGAATATTACCAATATTCTTCTTCCCAAAGATTACAGTAAAAAACCATTCTGGTGGGGAAAAGATGACAACCTACAAGAAAACCATTTGTAATTGATCAGCTCTTGCCCAAGTCCTTCACTCCTTATCACATAGTGAGAAACTCAGATGGATTTCTTGTTATTAGAAGGACAACATACAGCACTCACAAGATCTCTTCCAATCCTATGTTCCTATGCAAAATAGAACCAGAAGCACAATGCAGGAGGCAGTGAAAAGCCCACATAAATTCCAGTGGTCAACAAAGTTTCCAATAACCCAGATAAGAGTAGAACTAGATATTAACTTGTAGGAAGGTCTTCAAATCTGACCTGCTAAACGGTTCAGGTTGCCTAGATACTTGCCTAGTTGAATCTTTATTGCATCCAAAGACATTTCTGCATCTGCAGAAACTGTTTCTACTCACTATTTGAAATTATTTATGTACAATACATTTGTTTCCTCTACCTCCCAAAGGAACTTCCGGGAGTGTCACTGGACCCAGAAAGCTGAAGACAAAATATCATGAGTACTTGCATACACCACACTGTAAATTTTTACAGCTACATCACAAATACTAATTTCATCATTTTTATCACAGTCACAGTTTAAACTAAAGCTCGTCACTAGTGCTTCGTTCATAGGTTTAACCAGGCCTATCACTTCCAGAGGTCATTGCTGCACTGAATGTAATATCAGCACACTGATCATTATGGGGTATGAAGAATTTTTCTCACTTCAGCACTTCCATGCATTCAGCCATGTGATGCTGTCACACTTATGAAGCATAATTCTATTTATATGTGCAAGTACCTGTCATAGCAGCCTCAGCATCAAATAGCTGCTCTGTTGGTGTGAGCAGACTGCTGCAAGTGGGAAATGTTACAGAGCTCTTGTGAATAGAAATGGCCAAATCTCATGCTAAGCACTATTGCTACTTACTGTAGGAGTAAATTCAGAAAAGTTCCCCATGTCTAAAAAACTGCCCCTACAGAAGCATGTGTTTTTAGCACAAGATGATGCCACTATGGAATTACTTTACAACATGCGCTCTAACTACTTGTTTTAGAACAAGCTTTAGGAATTGATGTGCATCTCATACAAACAGCTAAATCATAGTCTTAGCCTGGGAGTTTGATCTAATCTAACAATTCTGACAAGGCACCAGTATCACCTTTTAGTTAACCCCCAAGACATATAGCACCTACTATATTAATAAGACAAATGAAATACAAGACTACTAAATTATATGAAGTAATCTAGAAAACAAGCATCCTCTGTTTAATTTACACATATAAACCTTACATATTAATAGGGTAATTGTTGTAACCTCAAAAAATCCTTCATTGTTTCCACTAGCTTTTTCTTATTGAGCAGAATACTTTGAGGTTAGGCATTCCTCCTACGTGCTCCTTACAGTTGGTCTTACAGCTGGAAAAATTATCACGGTGAAAATGGGAAAAAGAAACAAATGGGAAAGGAATACTCACGTGCATCCAAAGATCTAAGTTTAGATGAAAGACTCCACAGAGAAGGGATCTCTAGAAAGAGACCCTTCCGCAGGGGCAGTCAGCCCTTAAATGGGGTCTAGGAGAGGTGCAGCCAGGCTCCACCCCTTCTGGTCACACAGCTGAATTGCCTTCACCTGTGCTCCCATTGCTGACTCAGTGCTTGCCTCAGGTGATCAATCAGTGGTTCAGGCTGTGATTCAACAGTTCCCATACAATGCTTCAGATCAGGGACAATTTTATAGATTTTTCTTTTGTTTATTGCTTGCTTTAACGTGGTGACTTTTCAAAAGAATATAGTTTCATTATTGCCAGTGATATTTTATTGAGAAATACTGCCTGCCGCAATCTTATAATTGGCCTTTTTCTGCAGAACAGTGTTCACTTATTCTTTTTTATGGAAAAGATTTGCCATTCTAGTGTAAGAGATGCAGTCAGATTTGACCTTGGCTCAGGTCAGAGTTGTCCTGTCTCATGGACAGTCTAGAATTGCAATAAGAATAGCCAAAGGTGCTAACAAGATTAAAACTAGGCCTCTGAAGTTACAGTTTCATCTGCTATAGAAATTCCAGCACTTCCCTTGACAGAGGGAAGGATTTCCCCAGTAGCTTAGGCAGGAAAGCCCCATGAGAAGAAATCTGAACATGACAGATTCCAATAGTCTTTCTGCATAAGCTCCTCTTACTGTTTTCAGCCCTTCCAGAATTTCATCACTATTTTACTGCTGCAGTCATGCTTCCAGGGAACATTTCAATTTTGGTTAGTAAATGGAGAAACATTCAAAAGGACTTTTTAAACCATCTCTAAGTCCTGATGTCTATTCTAACTAAATCCTTGCCAAAGCAATTCTTGTGGAAAAGCACCACTAATAATTTAGACTAATATGCCATGATCCCAGGGGATAAGGGTATACAGAAAATGGATCGACTTTTCTCACCGAAAGACAATACATGACCCAAATCTCCCATCTGCTCCTTATAGATCTTGCCATTTATTCTTCACCAGTGTCTACAGCAACAGAAATTATATTGTCCAGAACTGCCTATGTCATGTGCAGTGCTGCCAAACCTAACCTGCTTGTGGAGGTGCCTGGAACTATTTTTGGTATGTGCACAAAATAACATATGACAGCTTGTGGATCCTGGATATGCTGTACATCTCTTCAGCACTTCCAGTTCAGTTGAAAGGAGTAAAATCAGCAGCCGAGATCTGGTAGAAGAAAAGTACCCAATTAATCAAAGTTACAAGATGACAGTTTGAATATATTTGAGTTTTAGGTAGCCATGAACCCATATCCAACATTTTATTTGGAGTTCACCATTGAGAATGGATCACTAGTTGGATGGACTGTGGGAGCCTGGGCGCCAAAGGTATATGCCAACCAGCGAGTCTATACTGTTAACATTTACTTGCCAAAGGGCCAGTGCTCAAGGATTTTGTATATCATTGGAGAAGTAATTAAATACAGATAGGTCTTCATTGATCAGGATAGGATGTAGACTTTGGGGCAAATGGAGATTTTAGAAAACGTTATTCATGAATGAGGCCACAAGTACTCTTAACACCAACAAGGAGCACAAGTATACTTGGCCTGATTGCCATGCTGGCCAGAGTAGTACAGATGCCTCTCATCAGAGCCTGTGATTGTTCTTTTTTGTTCTGTGATAGTACTTTTTGACAGAATAACTTTGAAGAGAATATAACAAATATCTGGATCCGTTAAATGAGGTGTAAGGATGGAAGGGCGTTTTTCTGTTCCAAATCATTAGGTAACTCCCACCCATAACATCTGTCATGACTTAAGCGCATTCTAGCACCCTTGGATGAGACAGCAGCATCTTACGGTGACAAAGATAAAATATAAATGGGTACTGAAGGGAAAGAGATCATTCTGTACCCATTAATGCCAGGAGATCATCTGCCAATGATGTAACACAGCTTTATTCTGGCTAGAGTCCAGGCTTTGCTACAGTTAGCATATTAGCATCAATTACATGAGCCTGTAGCTGACCTCTAGGTAGTTTCTCTGTAATCTATCTCAGGAAAAAGAAGTGTGATCTTGTCTGTCTTCTGGCTGATGTAGCTTGATTCAGAGTGAGTTTCACATAGAATATTCCTTATCTGTTTGATACATTGCCTACTTTTAACAGGCTTGGAGTCAAGACCTCCTTCACATCTCAGGAAATACTTGACAGTTCTCTTGTGTGCACAGATGAGTGCTACTTGCTTGCAGGTGTCAAAAATTTCCTGACAAGGTCTCACAGTGTTACAAGACACACAGCATAGAATGGTCCAACCGCAGCCATTCAGTTCAGGAAAAAGCAGGACCTACACCAGGCAAACACTGCAAAGCTGGGAGAAAGGTTTCAAGTTGAAGTACAGGCTTGTTACTTAGACTCAAATCCTCTTCTGTTTTACTGTCAACTTTGTCAGCCTGAGCTGCACAGATCTGTTTTTTCTCTGTTTTCATTTGGAGGGTGGTACAATAAGAATAAACACACAGATTTTTGTGAGGCATTTAAACAACGCAGTGAAAGAAGCCATAGAAATAACTGGCCAGAACTGTCAGTTCTTCGCTTTATGCCAATATATTAACCTTCCTCCAGCAGAGTAGAGACCTAAAGGGCATACTTTCTTTTCAAACAAATTCCTTCTCTCCCCTCAGAATACTCAAGATGTAGTTGAAGCAAGTGAGGAACAAAAGGCTCAAGACTGCATGGAAACTGAGCACAGCTTAAGCTAAAAGGTTATGAAAGATTACAGGAAAACACTGTAGCCCTCCTATACCTTCAGTTTAGCAGAGCAAACCATGACCAACCCTTGTGCTGACCCTGAAATAGAGAGTTCCAGAGGACAGTGACAGCTCTAGGATTTTCAATCTTACATCCAGCAAGATAAAGAACATTAAATTAATTCATGAAAATGTGGGACAAAAGGAAGAACAGATATTAATTATTTTATTTAAAGTAAGATGTATGATGAAACACATATCACCACAGCAATCTCCTGCAGATGAGATCAGAGGAAAGAAGAGGTATCCCAGTTATGCAGTATTCATAGGAGTTAACTCTCTGTGGATAATCCATATTACTCTTTTTTCACAGAGCTATGATCTACTTAATTTTTCCAACATATTGTGTATTTAGTATGCTTTTTAAATTATCTAGATAAGAACAAAATTGTTTTGTAGCTTTAGGATGACAAACTCAAACTGCTGCAGGGTGATAATGAAAAATTGAGAGAAAAAAGGAGATTTCAGTGATGTACAGCCCTTATGTGTTGTTTTGTTACAAGACATATATCTTCAGCTTCCTACACATTTTTTTATGCATAAGATCTATGGGATGCTCAGCTTGGCACTCTACAGCATGCCATCACCACCAAACAAATGACAGAAAATTGGCAGCAGGTTGTGGATTTGCTTTCTGAAACTGAATGGAAAATACTGTTCCATACAGACCTCCTGCCCTTTCTTACTTCTCCACCCACTCCTGCCATACCTTCAGCTCTCAAGCTGAAGAAAGTCTCAGACCTTTATAAGTTCAGTGTAGTTTGTCAGCGTACTATAAAAACTAGCCTTCTCTAAGGTGTCACCTGGGAGCCACACAACCTTCAGTTGCCTTCCTGATAACACACCACTGAATGTTTTTTTTTTTTTTAATAGAGGGAAAAGATGAACGAGAAAGTACTTCTTAAGGAATTTCAAGAAGAATAAGGATGAGTGGGATGTGATCACTCCATCTCTGTTTTCATTACAATTTTATATAAAAACTAAGTAGTCCATTACACACAGTGCTCTAAATGAGTCTATGCCCCAAGCAGTTCACCCCATAGAAAATGGGGAATTGCAGTTAATAGTGTTCTCAACTGACCAACTTTGTCATAACTAATGCTTTCAGCACAACTCTAGTCATGCACTATAATACACTGAAACATTCCACACGCTACTAACAACAAATTAGCAAAACTGGTTGTGAAAAGCCTTGAATTGTGCACCTTTATTGTTTTAACTATTAGAAGTTGACTAGTGTTTTTCCAGTGTTGTATCCTCCTGTCCTTTCATCTCCAGGATTAACCTTGTCAGCATGCAACCTGGAGGCATCTGGATGACCATCTGATCCAAGGCATAGCCTGGATCCCACTAAAATCAAGGACACTGAGCATGTAGTGCCTTTGTACCTAGGAGCTGCAAGGAGTCCCACAGAGCTAAGGGTCTCATGCCACTCTTAAAGACCTGAGGCTGGACTGATTTCCCCATGGTTCAAGCATACAAATATTCAGCATGACCACAGATTTAAGCACTGATACTGATAGCATATGCTATCTTGTAACATTTGCAGGACTGTATATGTACAACCTCAGAGAGTGGTTCTAGACATAATCCAAGTCAAACAAGCAATCTTTCCACATCATTTACTTGCCAAAGGGCTCCTATTTGAAGGAGTTTTGGTGATATTTCTCAGGAGAGAATTTGGCCTTCTCTTCTGCTCTGAGCTCTGTGGTACTGTGAATATCTACCTCCCTGTCTGCAATTTCAAGACAGAGTTGATAATGCAACTTCATTTCCATGAGACCTTTTTCTGCTGCAGGGGCATGCATGATTGTTAGGTTACCAAACACAAGTAACTCAGACTAAAGTTCATCTGCCCAAAAGAAATCACAGAATCACAAAATGGCTGAATCTAAAAAGAACCTCTGGAGTCCAACCACCTGCTCAATCAGGGACACCCAGAGCTGGTTGCCCAGGGCTGTCCAGATGGCTTTGGAATATCTCTAGGGCGGATGACTCCACAAGATCTCTGGGCAAGCTGTGACAGTGTTTGGCCAACATCAGTGTAAAAATGTGTTTCCTGATATTCAGAGATTCCTGTTTGGTTTATGCCCTTTGCCTCTTGTCCTGTCACTGGGAGCCAGTGGAAAGAGCCTGTCACCACTTCTTTACTACCCCATACCTCCACCATGTATTTATGCACATGGATAAGATTCCCTGCTGAACCATCTCTTCTCCTTTTCCATGTTCTTTGTCTCAGGGTCTCCTAACACATTCAACATCAAAGCCACATTTTCCCTAGTCTTCTTTTTGCCAGCTGTGTATTTATAGATGCTCTTCCTGTTGTCTTCGACAT